GGTGGCCAACCACGACGTCAGCAAAGTTCTTGTTGACGGCGGCAGCGGAGCAAACATTCTGTTCCGAAAGGCCTACAATCAAATCAAGCTGAAGCCCAAGCACCTTACGCCGGTACCATATCCAGTATCCGGATTTAACGGGGCTTCAACTTACCCAGACGGGAAGGTGACACTTCCTGTCACCATCGGCTGCGATGAGGCAGCTAGGAACGCCATGACCGAATTTTTGGTCATTGACGCTCCTTCAATGTACAACGTGATTTTGGGGAGACCCATAATTCACGAGATCCAAGGGGTCGTCTCAACTTATCATCAGCTGATGATTTACGTCTCAGACGCCGGCTTCCCCGAAAGGATCCAGGGCAGCCAAAAGGACGCCCGAAGGTGCAACTACCTCAAGCCATCCACTAGTCGCCCAGATGACGACGACAAGGATGAGGAGGAGAAAGAAAAAGAAAAAGAAAGAGAGCCCAGCACAAAAAAGCCGAAAGGCCTAAGTGCTTCGGCCCAAGGATCTGTGCCCAGAGAAAAAGGGCCAGAAAGGGAAAAGGCTAGCTCTTCATCTGAGCCGAAAGACTCAGAGAGCCAGCCGAAGAACAAAAAGTCTGGGACACCTGCTGACATAGACAACAGGCCAGATTGTGAAGAGTCCAGTCCATCAGCAATGGACATGGACCAGCAGACTGAAACGGTCGAGTTGGCCGAAGGACACGCTGAGAAATGTGTAACAATCGGGATGTACCTTGATCCGAACACCCGTTGTGAACTTATTCAGCTCCTTCGGGACAACAGAGATGTGTTTGCTTTCTCGGCAGCTGATATGCCCGGGATAAGTCCAGACCTCATCTCCCATAAGCTTAATGTTGACCCAACGTGTCGACCAATTAAGCAAAAGAAGCGGAATTACTCCGCTAATAAGAACCGAGACATCGCAGCCGAGGTCAAAAAGTTGCTGGAGGCAGGCTTCATCGAGCCTTGTCAATATCAAGAATGGCTGGCAAATGTGGTGATGGTTCAGAAGGCCAATGGTACCTGGAGGATGTGCGTTGACTTCACGGACCTAAATAAGGCTTGTCCGAAGGATTTCTATCCCTTGCCGAGGATCGATCAGCTAGTCGATTCGACAAGTGGCCATGCCTTGCTTAGTTTCATGGACGCATTCTCGGGGTATCATCAGATCTTCATGCACCCCGACGATCGAGCAAAGACGGCATTCGTCACGAACGCCGGGGTGTACAATTATAAAATGATGCCCTTCGGATTGAAAAATGCGGGGGCAACCTATCAAAGGCTGGTGGATAAAGTTTTCGCCGATCAAAAGGGTCGAAACATGGAAGTCTATGTTGACGATTCTATCGTCAAAAGCAAAAAATCTGAGGACCATGTTAAGGACCTGGCTGAAACCTTCGCCACCTTAAGAAAGCACCAAATGAAGTTGAATCCGAAGAAGTGTGTCTTCGGCGTGAAGTCAGGGAAATTCCTTGGGTTCATGGTCAGCAAGAGGGGGATTGATGCCAATCCCTCCAAAGTCAAAGCAGCGCTCGACCTTCCTGAGCCGAAAACAAAGCGGGATGTTCAGCGGCTCACCGGAAGAATGGCAGCCCTCTCGAGGTTCATTTCCAGAGCTTCGGATAAGGGGTTACCTTTCTTCAAAGCCCTGAAACTCCCGAAAACAAAAGAGCTCGTTTGGGAAGAAGAGCAAAAAGAGGCCTTCAAGCAGCTTCGGGAGCATCTGGCTCAACTCCCAACGCTGGCTAGCCCAGCAGAGGGAGAAACTTTGTATCTGTACGTGGCTGTTAGCCCACCCACCATCAGTGCAGTGCTGCTGAAGGAAGAAAACAAAATTCAGCAAACGATCTACTTCGTCAGTCACACTCTGACGGACACCGAGACTCGCTACCCTCTGATCGAGAAAGTCGCCTTTGCAGTGGTGGTAGCGGCTCGGAAGCTGAGGCCCTATTTTGATTGCCATCAGATAGTGGTCCTAACTGATCAGCCACTGGAAAAAGTTCTCGGCAAAGTTGAAAAATCTGGTAGACTGGCCAAGTGGGCTTTCGAGCTCACCGAGTTCAGCATCAGCTACCAGCCGAGGGCAGCCATCAAGGCTCAGGCTCTAGCGGGCTTCTTGGCCGAATGCACGTACCAAGAAACGCTAGACAATGAAAAGAAAATCTGGACCGTGTTTACGGATGGATCCTCCACTGTAAATGGTTCGGGGGCAGGGGTAGTAATAACCTCTCCCGAAGGAAAATCCTTTGAGTATGCACTAAAACTTTCTTTTAGGGCTTCGAACAACGAAGATGAATATGAGGCAGCAATCGCTAGACTAGAATTGTGCATCTCTCTAGAAGCCGAGCATGTCTGTCTGAAAACAGACTCTCAGCTGGTTGCATATCAGATCAGTGGCAGCTACGAGGCCAAAGAGCCCGCTATGATAGCTTATCTTGCCAAGGTCAAATCAGTTATTGCAAAGCTGAGAACTTTTGAAGTTCAGCTAATCCCAAGGGGTCAGAATGCTCAAGCCGACGCACTCTCCAAACTCGCCAGTTCGACTCTCACTAAGCTGAACAGGTCTGTATATGTGGAAGTGCGCCGAGAAAGAAGTGTCGACGAAGCACCTGAGGTGTGCTGCGCCGACCCAGAACCCAGCTGGATGGACCCCATCCTAGCTTTCAAGCTTCAGGGAGAAATTCCCGAAGACAGAATCTTGGCCTCCAAGCTGAAAAGAACCAGTTCAAGGTTCATTGTCTTCAACGGGGAGCTGCTGAGAAAATCCTTCTCAGCCCCATTGCTGAAGTGTGTGGGACCAACAGATGCAGATTACATCCTTCGGGAGATTCACCTCGGCATCTGCGGGAACCACATCGGGGGAAGAACCTTGGCCCACAAAGCATTAAGGGCGGGGTACTACTAGCCTACCATGATCTCAGACGCTAAGGAACTAGTCAGAAAATGTGAAAAATGTCAAAAATTTGCACCAGTCATCCATCAGCCAACCCAAGAGCTTCAGCCCGTGCTGAACCCGCTCCCATTCGCTCAATGGGGACTGGATATACTGGGACCATTTCCAGATGCTACATACCAGAAAAAATGGCTGATAGTCGGTGTCGACTATTTCAGTAAATGGATCGAGGCCGAAGCAGCTTCGAACATTACAGAGCAAACTGTCAGAAAGTTTATCTGGCAGAATATCATCACTCGTTTCGGCATCCCGAAAGTATTTGTCTTCGATCATGGGAGGCAGTTCGATAACTTGCCGCTGAAGCGGTATACCGATCAGTTCGGTATCAAACTGGCATATTCAGCGGTATGCCACCCGCAAAGTAACGGACAAGCCGAAGCTGCAAATAAACAGATCCTGAACGCCCTCAAAAAGAGGGTGGAAGATCAAAAGTCCAAGTGGCTGGAGGAGCTCCCAGGAACCCTCTGGTCCCTTCGGACAACTGAAAAAGAGGCAACGGGCTATTCACCTTTTGAACTGGTGTATGGTGCCGAAGCCGTTCTTCTAGTGGAAATCGGCTCGGAAAGTTTACGAGTGCACCACTTCTCGGCTGAGAATGAGGACCTAATGAAAGAATCCCTCGATTTTCTTGATGAAGTGAGAGATTCAGCCCGAGTCAGAATGGCTGCTTATAAGCAGAGAATCAGCAAATTTTACAATCGAAGGGTCCATGCAAGGCCTCTCAAAATTGGAGACCTTGTCCTTCGGAATGCTGCTGCGGTCCAGAAAGGCCGAATTCATGGGAAACTCTCAGTTGCATGGGAGGGACCCTATGAAATCTGTGATGAGCTTCAGCCAGGGACATACCGACTTCGTCAGTTAGATGGAACTAAGCTGAAAAATCACTGGAATGCTGATGTCCTTAAGAAATATCATGTGTAAACCTTTCGGGGCAGAACAATCTTTGTAAGTACATTTTGAATCGTTAATGAAAGGCCTTGGAGCCATCATTTATATAAATATTTGCAACTTTTTATTCTTTCAAAGTTTTCTTTATTCTATCTACTCTTTAAGGGTTTTTATTCAGCCTTGTCTGAAACCTTCGCCTCCGGGTAACTGGGTTTCAGATTGCTGACAAACTCGTCTTTTTAAAGAACTTTGGTCTTTCAGCTGAAGTCAAACTTCAATAAGACTTGTTCTCCAAAGACATGAGTCCATGGACAGTTCTGGGATATTGCCTTAACTGAGCCTTGTATCCCAGAAAGCCATTATCCGAAGCATTGCCTTCAGTTGGCCCTGTGTTTCGGATATCCATTTTTAAAAGATAGACAGAAAATCAAGGATAACAACAACTGTTGGAAATTTTTTATTTAGCCTCGTCTGAAACCTTCGCCTCCGGGTAACTGGGTTTCAGATTGCTGACAAACTCGTCTTTTTAAAGAACTCTGGTCTTTCAGCTGAAGTCAAACTTCAGTAAGACTCGTTCTCTAAAGACAAGAGTCCATAGGCAAGTCTGGGATATCGCCTTAACTGAGTCTTGTATCCCAGAAAGCCATTATTCGAAGCATTGCCTTCAGTTGGCCCTGTGTTTCGGATATCCATTTTTAATAGATAGAGAAACAAAACCCAACTCAGTAATCCAAAGACTTGAATCTTCGGATTACTGGGGGGGGCAAGAGGCACTATCAGTACAAGTTTATATTCAGCAGAATTCTTCAAGCCGAAAGCTTTGTACCTGGCAAATTTTTGCGAAAATTTCAAAGTTCAGAAATAGTAAAGCATTCAAAATAAGGCAAAGCAGTTGAAGAAAGGAACATCAGATTAATGATTAATGCTCAGAAAGTGAGCTACAAGTTCAAATAAATTAAAGACTATATCGGCAGCCGGCCACAAGCGGAAAATAACAGCTGCCGAAATACGTACAGAAACAAAAATAAACTGTTTGTACATCAAGGCAAGCTGAAGCAAAAAGATAAGGCAAAAAGAGATTCAGAAAGCGGCGAGTCTGAAGTTAAGCACATGTTGATCCGCAAGATTCTGAAGACGACTGCCCGATTTCCTATGCTTCAGTTGGAGGATCAGGCTGATCAGCTGGGCCAAGCCTCGGGGCAGTCTCGGTTCCAGCAGTAGAGGAGGCAGGTTGGGCCCTTGCCTGAGCTTCAGCGGCTCGCTGTTCAGCCTCCAACTCCTGCCGCTCAGCTTCCTCCTCGGCTTGTTCAGCCTGAAGGATCTCATGCTCAGCAGGAGTGGCATACAGCATGTGCGGATCTTCGGGGTCCTGAGCCCAAAGCGCACACTTGGACCAATCCAGCGAAGGCTCAGCATGGAGAGCCAACCTCCGAGCCACCTTAAACCCATTTATGTAGCCCATCTCATACTCTTCTTGGGTGTAGAGGCGGACTTGGAGTAAGGCTTCAGCGTCAGCCAACTTCTTTTGACTCTCCTCCAAATCCTTTTTAGATTTTTCTAACTCTTCTGAGAGTTTGGAGGAAGAAGTCTTCTGCTCATTAAGCTCCAGCTGGACGTTGGAAGCTTCGGTTTTGGCCTGGGTCAGCTCATCTCCCTTGACTCTCAGCTGATCCTCCAACTCCTTCAGCTTCTGGTCCTGGCTCTCAGCAGCAGCTTGGGCAGCAGAAAGGTGAACATCCCTAGCCTGTAGAGCCTCTTCTGTAGCCATCCTGCTGGCTTCAAGAGCTTCCAGCTTCTGCTGCACTTCAGCTTGTGCAGCAGGCCCTTCTTGAATTCGGCTCTCGATGGCAGCTTTAAATTTGGAGATGTCCACTCCCATTTGCTCCTGAAGGAATTTCTCCCTTTCCATCAGCGGGGGAAAAAATTCCTTCTCCATAGCCGAGCAGAAGGTTTGAATGGCTTCAGCAGCCCTCTTTTCATATTCTTCGCTCTGCTGCTGCTTCTCTTCAGCAGCCTGCTGTTTCAGCTCAGCAAGCTTCGCCTCCTCCCGGGCAATCTTTGCATCCTCCCAGGCATGCTCCAGCTTGTCTTGGAGGGTGTCAATCAACTCTACAGTAAGAGTCTGATTGTGCACAACCTGTTTGCAGGGGCACATCAGTTGAAATAAATAAAGTAATAAAAAAGGAAAGAGCTAGAAAGGAGAAGAAGAGCTGAATGAAAGCAAAGCAACTAAAAGGTAAAGTACATGCATCAGCAAACGCTGGTTGTCTTTTGCAGGGTCAGGGACCCTTTGGCTGGATTCTCCCATCCCATCTGTGGCCTTCAGCGACCACACCCTTGCTCGGTCCACTTCGGACATGCTAGTTAAGTCGCCGAAGTAGCCTGCAGCCCCTTCACGGTTCTGGCCCCAAATTCGTTCCCAAACAGGTTCTGGGACTGTGATGCGGGGGGCCGAGAAACCCAAATCTCCAGAGTTCAGCGTCTGGAATGAGGGGAAGGAAGAAGAAGGAACCTCCTGAATCTTCTCAGGCTTAGCATGACCTTCTCCTTCGGCGGAGCCCAGTTGGTCTCCACCAAGGTCAGCAGCAACGACCTTCTCTGCTTCCTCCCCCAGATCAGGTTGACGAAGAAAAGCGTCAACCTCCCTATCAATATCATCTGAGAAGCCTTCAGCAATCGGCTTCTCAGATTCTTCAGCAAGGTATCCTTGAACCCCCCCTTCGGATCAGGAGTTCTTTGGTCCACCTCCATCTCTTGAGTTTCGGGAGGTGGAAGGGGGGTTTGAGGACGCGGAGCTTCCGACGGAGGGGGAGCCCTCGGCGAGCGTCTACCTTCATCAGGCTCCCGTATGAGGATGCCCCCAGTAGGCCTCATCCCCGTTTGAAACTGACGAGGCCCCAACACGGCTAACCTCCTCCTCCTCTTTGCTAAGGGCTACTCGCCCATTTCTTCAGATTCTGACGAAGATGGATCCTCAGAACGAGCAGGCGCCTTTCCTTCTCTTCTTTCGCTCCCTTCCTCAAACTGCAGAAAGGGGGGGGCAGCAAAGTCAGGAACTTTTTGGAACCTTCGGCTGAGCTTCAGATGCGGGGATATCCCTCTCAGCAGCACCAGATGTCCCAACACCTCCTTTCAAGGAGTCGATTGCTCGAGACACGTCAGCTGCTGTCTGAGCAGCCTGTGCTTCCTCAGGTAATAAAGGCCGAAGGGGATCTCGCTTCTCCCACCAAGGCTTCTGCTTGGTGTATTCAGCGGCAGCTTCGATCTGAAGTCCCGTTTTGTGCAGATGCAGCGGACGGTCCTTCGGAGCTATGATCGCTGGAGCCCGGTCTAAAATGACTCGTTCAGCGTTCACCCCAAGCCGGTTATAGTCAACCCCCGAAGTAGCTTCGCTCAACTCTGAAAAGAACAGACGAAGGTTAGACTAAGGGAATAAGCATCAAAGATAAACAAAAATTAAGCAAGTCAGAGTCCTCGGCCCCAGCCGAACATACTTACCATCCCTGTACTTTCGGATGAGGCCGACAACTGCCAACATCTTCTCTTGGAAGACGTAATGGTTATCTGGAAGCCATCTGGCCGGGATAAATCTCATTCGGCCAATCCCCTCAGGGTTATTCTGCTTCCCGAAGAAGCTCATTTGCTCATAGCTGGGATGACGAGCGACATCAGGGTCCTCAGGGCCCAAATCCTGCATGTTCGGATGAGGCCTGAAGAGGTATCGGGGAGCCCCGAAAAAATAGGGATGCTCGGGATCAGCGGGGACTCTCACCCAGACCCATTGACCCCTCCAATCTTTGTCCGAGGAGTCGTTCGGCCACATAGTCAGATAATGGGGGCGGCTCTCTATTCGCCACCAGCCTGAAGACCCATGTTGGCCGTATGAGCTCTGAAGGTTTTGCACCAGCTGATGCATATTTCGGAAGCAGCGCAAATTCGGCTCAACAGCAAAAAACCGGCATCCCAGAGATAAGTCATCACCCGCCGAATACTAACGGGTGTTAATTAGCACAGGGAGATCCTGTACTTTATTAAAATGTCCCTGACGAAGGGATCCAAAGGAAACCGAAGCCCGTATTGTAATTGCCGAGTGTACACCCCTATATACCCAGGAGGGGGACGGTGAATCTTGTCAGTCGGCGAGGGCATTCGGCACCAGTGCCCATCCTCTTCAAAAATGTCGTAGTGCAACTCAAATTGCTCGGCGAATCGGTAGGTTTCGGCATGCCGAACCCACCATGAGTATGGGGTATTTCTCACCATGGCGTCCTGGGCCTCGGCGTCCTGCCATTCAGCATGCCCAGGAAGCAGGTCCCAGATTACAGGGGGCAAATCTTCAGCCTGCCCAGCCTGTTCTCTCTGCTTAGGTTGCTCCGCCTCGCCGGCCTCGGCGTCCTGCTGAGGCGGCGCGGCGTTTAAAGGAACTGCCGGAATCCCCCTTTCTGGGTCTTCACCGGCTCGTTCCCCGTTCCAAACGTCGGCGCGGTCACGGGGATCCCCAACCTGACCCCGTCGACCCGGCTGACGCCTCCTTTCTCGAGCCATAATCAAATTCAGAGAAGGAAAGAAGGGAGAAGAAGAATTTCCCTAAAAAAGGCAAGAAAATCGAAAAAGCTCGAGGAAAATTACCTTCAAATTGGCCGGAATACGCCGGTCAAATCACTGGAAGCAATGGATTTGAGTATCGAACTCGGATTCGAGAATGGTACGCTGGAAATTCGGAGCGAAGATGGGTTTGCGCGAGAATTTGAGTGTAAGTTGGTGAAGAAATGAGGTTGAAATGCGAATCAGGCCTTATAATTCCAGGAAGGAGAATCCCAAAGGTCGAAAAGTTCAAATTTCTCTTAAATGCCTCCTTAATTAACCGTTAAACACTCTCTCTCTTGATTAACCGCCCACTATCCACTCCACTTCCTGTTGATTATCCAAATTACAGTTATTTAATTAATAACTGTTTAAAAATTTAAATCTTTTGATTTAATTAAGTCATTCACCTCCCTCCATTTCTTATTGGATTCAAACCCGACATGTCATCCTTCCAAATCGGGTCTGGGGGGCAAGTTGTTTGGGTCCAATTTATCTAATTGGGCCTAGTCATTTATTTGGGTCCAATTATCTTATTGGGCCTGGTCACTAAATGACTCAATATTCCAAGGTCAAGGCCCGAGCCTCCAATCAAGCCAAGTCAATCAAGAGTCATTTGGTCCGAATTGCCATGGTCAGCCTATGACTATTTAAGGGCCCAATTACTCTCCTCTCCTCATATGCAAAGGTATATAAGCCTTCAATTCATTCATTTATGATATACACACAAAAGCCTCAAGCAACTAATTCTCTTGCATAGCTTTCTCTCTACACATTGTACTGACTTAAGCATCGGAGGGGCCTTCCTCGGCAACACCCCCAAGGCTAGTTTACGTGTGTTTGTTGTGCAGGAAACCTTCGGCCCAACATCACTTGGACCGAATCCAGTCTTCACCACTTCAGCGGGCCTTCGGCAAGGCCCCATTGTTTTCACCCGAAACAATACTTATAATCTTCATGATAACATTTGAGCAATCAATTACTTTCTCCCAACTTACAATTCATGTGCGTGAATTGCTGAATGTGAAGGGGGAGTATCTTGTCTAATTTTTTGCCTAAGGTAATCACACGCATCTTTGGTTTGATGTTTAATTATACCACAATCATGTTTGTAAATTTGTAATCTAATAGTTTTAAATAAATAAATTCACGATGTGTTTTTTTGTTGTGTATTTGATGATCTGTGACTTCGTATGATTGGAGTTATATTGCTACGTATATGATCCCCATATCAATTTAGTTTATATGACTTTAATTGATGTGAACTTATGGATTATCGTAATTGTGTCGCGACATTGTGTTGAATATAGAGTATCATATTTGAGGTTTTAGATTAGAGTTGTTAATGTTATTTTTGGGTTGAGAATTAATTAATTTTGGGTACTAGTATTAGCCCTATAAGAGTTGAGATATTTATGAACCAAATATGTCGTCATATATGAATTGAGAACTTGTGCCAATATTGAGATATTATAAACTAGCTTGTGGTCGGTTATTTGATCAAGTATGAGATCAAAAGATTGAGAATTATTATTTTGTTTTTGGTTTGAGGCTCGGCGTTATAGACCTTAGTCCTTGACATGTTGGTAATGAGATAATAATCATGAGTTAAGAATGAGGTACAAACTTTATTTTGTTTACTTTTCTATTGCCCCCTACAGTGGGATTTGGCCCGTATGTGGTCTGGTTCAAGGTGTTTTCTGGTTATTGAGAGTATTCAAGTTTTTATACTTGTTGGTTTGTCATTCGAATTACTCATGTCAAAGGCTAGGTATAGAACAAAGAGCATGTCACACTTATGGGGTAGATATTTAAGTGAAGGTTGTATTATTCGAGGTTGGGTTTGACAAAGGTTACTTCCATAATACAATGTGTAATGTAGTTTTAAACTACATTATTTTATTGAGCTAGTAATGTTGATTATCCTATTATACTCTGTATTATGATATGTAATGATTACTCAGCTTTTTGCTGACGTGTGTGTTTGTTTGTTGTGCTACTTGTGTTTGCGGCCATGTCTTTTTCTTATGGTAGTCCTGCGACGATCTATTTTGCAATTTGTCCTTAATGGTGAGCAGTCAAGATTTTCTAAGCAAGTTAAGCAAGCGATCGTATCTAAAGGAGCTAAAGTGTTTCGATTAGTATGCTATAATGAGTTTATAAAGTTGTATAAATAGCTCACCTATTTTATTGGGTTGTAATTATTGAGATTTTGTAAGCCTTAACACTTGACAGGTTGTCGAGTGTGGCAGTAATACCTTCGATTTAGGAGTATGCTTCCGTAATTTTATTTAAAGGTTGTTTATTTTTCCTTTAATTCTTGTTTATTATTTGTTAGTAAATTGGGGGTGTTACAGTAGGTGAGGAGATGAGTGCAAATCAATTGATGAAAATAGGGATGTAGATTTTGATGAGAGTCATTAGATTAGATATGTAGATAAGAGAGATAATTAATTAGAATAATAAAGTAAGTTAGAAAATAATCAGTTTTTAATAAGGGCAGAAAGGTCATTTTGTCAGCCAAAAAGTTACCAAAAAATGAAAAATATATAATTGTTGCAAATAATAGTTAGCACCCATTTTAGGTAAATGTTGTAATTAAATAACTGTTAATGGAGGTAGTATTTATTTATTTATATTGCGGATAACCATAAAAAGTTCATGATATAGGATACCGGTGTTCATAAGTCTTGTAACATTTTAAATTTTATGCTAATGTCCAATTTGACAATATCTTTAATTATCAATTAGTTATTTTGAAAAACATGCAATGACAATAATTCAATACATGTAACAATTTATATAACCATGCTTAATTATTTATACTTTGGCTTAAAGATTTGCAGAAAAAAAAAAAAAAAAGAAAAAAAGAGAGAGAGAGAGAAGATACTACCTCTATTTCTTTTTAGTTGCTAGTTTACGGTTGAGGAATTTTTTATATTCCCCAAATAATACCTTTCTACACAGTTGGAGCTATGTTTGAGGAATAATGGGTCACAGGACCCACCATTAATTTTTCTTCTCTAAATTGAAGTTATATTTTTTTATGAATTAAAAAATGATATTAATAGTTTGTCAAAGATTAGTTTAAGTATAAATTAGATTGATTAATCTAAGTTAAATTGTAATTAGCTTAACAAAATCATATTGTTTAAGCAATTTGGTTGCACTATATGTTTGCTGGCATACGATGTATTATTGATCGTTACCTTTTATTTTATCTCTCTCTCTCTCTCTCTCTCTCTCTCTCTCTCACACACACACACACACACATATATATATATATATATATATATATATATATATATATATAAGAGTAATTTAATAAGGTTTTTCCAAACCCCCAATCCTTAATTCCCATGCACTCTTTTATTTTTATTTTTTTTATTTTTTTTGGCACTATCCTCCAAATAACTTTCACATTTTTTTTATTTTTTTTTGTATTATAAATTAAAAAAATAACAAATCTCCTAATAACTTCCACTAGTACTATTTTTACTAATAACACACATACTATGCATTTTACTTTTTTACAAAAATACCTATTTTAATATATCAACCAATAATTTGGTTTTTTTTTTAAAACCACAGTCCCCAAAATTACAAGGAATCTATTTTAATACTTGAAGATTAATCTTAAAATTATATGTACTTCATTTAAAATAAAAAATACAACCACCATAAGATCCACTATTTTCCATTAAAAATTTAACAATTGTTTTTCTTTTAATCACACCTTTTTATCAAAATCAAAATAGCACGGTTTTCTGTCTGGCTGGCCACACCGGCCGACAGACACACACAAAACACTAACCAGGTAACCCCTGTCGAAGTAACTTTTGACCGAGTAATCCTGCCAGACTGAGTAACCCTTGAGTAAGGAACTCCACAAGTTTAGCTACTTGCAAAAAAAACAAAGTAACTCCAATAACACTGACAAAATAACCCTTATAACACTAAAGAGATTACCTCTGTAACACAAAATGGATAACCCTTGTAAAACTAATAAAATCACTCCTGTAATAACTGGGCTTACAGTGTGACCAACCACATATACCAGTTCTATACCATATACTCCCTCTGTCCTATAATACTTGGAACGTTAAATTGAACACGTAGTTTAAGAAAAACATTTGTTTATTATATAAAGATTCACTTTTGTATTTTTACATTACAAGGAAATAACAAGTAGGGCGGGAGTGGAGTAGGTGAGATGAGAAAAAAAATGTGAGAAAATATTTTTTTTTGTGGCATCATTCCATATTTAGTGACATGTCAAGTATTGTGGAACGGACAAAAATAGGAATTGTGTCAATTATTATGGGACGGAGGGAGTAAAATTTAAATTTTCGTATTTGATATACTACCTCCGATTTTTTATTAGTTGCAACTTTGAAATATTTTATATTTCACAAATAATCCCCCAAAGTTGCAACTAAAAAAAAAAAAAATCAGAGGTAGTATAATTTTTGTTACTTCGTATTACATTTTATAATATCATTCTGTAAAATATATATCCCATGCATTGCACGCGTACACTCCAGGAGATAGTTTTGCAACTATCCACTATACTTAATATTACAAATATACACACTAATTTTTTTAAGTCAATATTGGAAGAAATTTACATCATAATTGCAATTTTTATTTCCTAACTTTTTAGCACGACTGATGAAAACTTCAATCTTAAAATTATAAGCATTTAATTTATTTTTTTAAAAAATAAAATAGCCCCCGTAAGTTCACTAACTTTTATATGTGGCTAGCCACTTTATGGAATTATTTGATTAGGGTTATAAGGGTTGCTTCGTTACGGTTATAGAGGTTACTTAATTAATAATATAGGGGTTACTCTATTATTCTCCGCATTCTTTTTTGCCACCTGTTGTTTGCACCTATTGTTTAGTTAGAGTCCGCTTCGCTACTCATAAAGTATAACAGGGATTACTCTATTTTCCTTCCAGTTACCATACACTGATGTGTTGCAGCGCCAAAAAAAGCATTAGCATTTACTTACATGAAAAACTTCCTACATTGTTTTTTATATTTTTCAAAATTATTTAATAACTATCTTATTATTAATTTAGTAGTCGTCGAAAGAAAAAGATAGTAATACTATATCAAAATAAACTTATAGTATTTGTAAAAAACAAAACTATTATTTATTTCAATATCTTACTATGTGATATATATCCCGTGCATTTTGAACGGGTACAAAAATACTTTGAAAATTATTATGTAATTGGATTGGTTATAATTTGTTATAAGTGAATATATAGTTCTTAGTTGTAAATGTAAACGGATTGAAATATGTTGATCAAGATAATTTGATTAAATAAAGTGAACGTTTCAAGGTTTTCGATAGTTTTGATTATTGGTTATGGATGATTATTTAATTATATTTGTTTACTATATAAATTTTATGAATGTATTACAATTTAATCTTAACCAACCATTCAAATTCTCTCAATTATCTTTTTTTACTAATAATGATTAATAGGAAAAAAAAAAATCTGAATTAAAAGGTTTAATTTATCTCTTTCAAAAAAAAATTAAAAAAATAAAATAAAATTTTCTAATCCCCTACTCACTACTAAAGAGAATTTGATACAGGAAATTGCTACACCATTTGTAACTTCAATTCTTTACCTTATCAGTATGCATGTAGCAGTTATGAATTGCTTGAAAAAATATCACCGGCCTAAAAAGAGGGATTTGCATTTTTTGCTTGAAAAAAAAATCATCGGCCTAAAAAGAGGGATTTGCATTTTCATGCCTCAAACTCCTATCCTTTCTCATACTCCCTTATATCTCAATAATGGGTAACTGCACAACAACACAAGTGTAATAAGAATCTTGATGGGTACTCCGTATTATTTCAATTAATGATTATTATTGCTTTGATTTGTTTAACTATAACTGTATTATACAATGTCATATCGATTCGTGCATGATATGAAAATTACTTTTTCTACCGCTAAGAAATATGAAGATTTAATTAAACAGTGAGATGGTCCAACCAACTATTTGTATATATATTTTTTTTTCATTAATATTGTGTGGTTTATTATAATTGAGTCATTAACCATGTATAATTTATTTTGAGTACGGTGTAAGTCTTTTCTATATAAGCTTTAGAGTTTTCAACCACGTTTTTAATGTAAGTCTATCATTAGTTATCTAAAAGCAAATGTTTAGCTATCATACATTTTAATAACTATTTTCAAAATCAACAATTGATAGTACAGTATATTGTTTTATCATAATTGTTGCAAAAGTCCAATCTAAAGCTTCACAATCTGAACCTGCTATCAAGGAAGCTTCACCAAAACAAAAAAAGGCAGCTGCTCTTGATGAAGCAAAACAATCTGGACCTCCTGCAAAAGTTCAGAAAAAAGGGCAAGCAAAAGATATTAGTCCCATTCAACAGATGGCAGGTGCTCCTGCTGAAAAAGTAGTTAAAAAAGGTAAATATTTAATATATTTTTTATCAGAATAATTTATAGTAGTGTAAAAAAGTAATGAACATATTACTTTTTGCAAATGACCATTTACATTTACAAAAATGGTCATGTATTTTAATTTTATACAAGAGGAAAAAAGACAACTGCTGCTGATAAAAGAGGTCAACCACAAAATATTCCTCCTATTCAAAAGAGACCAGGTGCTCCTGCTGAAAAAGTTATTCAATCAGGAAAAAAGAGATCTGCTCCCACACCTGCACGAGGAATAAAGAAAATTGCTAAGAAATCTAGTATAATCATGTTCTTTATGAATGTTCATTTTCAAAAAACAGAATGATCATATATAGAAACATTTATATTCATTTACACATATAGTTACTTTTTATATTCAATTGATTAATGTTTATTTTCAATACATTAAATGATGATAGCTGATGAATTTTATATTCATTTTCAGCTGTCAGCCAAGAAGAATATTGGGATCGAAAGAGGAAAAAAATACAGGAAGTTCCATATGATGAACCATCTCAGGATTCTTCTTCTGATGAAAATTCCACTAACAGTGGTGATGATAGTGAAGATTCTATCTACAAAGTTGAAACAGAACCTGTCGATGAGGAAGATGATGAATTAGAGGAGGAGGAAGTTGAAATAAAACCAAAGAAGAAAAAGGCAAAGAAAGAGAAGGAACAGAAGCAAGTGAAGGCAAAGACTGAGAAGGGGGAACAGAAGTTGGTGGTGTACAATCAAGGAAAGAGTGGAAGAAGAGGAAGAAAAAAAAGATGAAAACTGAAATAGTTGAGGATGAGGAAACTAAGTTGGAAGAGGAATTTGAGGAAGAGATATCATCAAAAAAGGACATGTCAAGTTCATAGCATGGATAGATATAATGACAAAAGATCAAAAACAAGTGGTTGATATAGGTTAAGATCACTTCTTGACATCAAATTACCACAACTTGATCAAAAATTCTGTAATTGGATATTGGATAGTTTTGAAGAGAGTAGTCAGACTTTTGGATTGCCAAAGAATGAAAAAATTGAAGTTGAGGTAGCGGATGTGAGGGTAGTTTATGGCTTGCCTACAAGAGAAATTCCAATTGTTGAGGCAAAGTCTTATAAAGCTAGTGATAAATATGCAGAATTTCTGAAGAAATGGAAAAAGTTAGGGGAGGAAATACTCTATCAGTGAGTCAGGTATGATCAGTTATTTTCTTAAAATGTTCATTTTTAATACATTAAACGATCAAAAATTGTAATTGTCTTGTTCATTTTCTTAACATATTGTGAATGGATACATACATGATAAATTCATCAACAATAGACCACCAAGTGAACACTTCATATCTAACTTTTTAGCAGTTGCTGTGAACTGCATGATGAAGTGCATATTAAACAATCAATGTCATTTCAATTTTCTTTTCTTAATGATGGACAAAGAAAGAATAAGAAATTTGAATTGGTGTCAGTATGTATTTAACTCATTAATTAAAAGTCATGTTGATTGGAGAAAGCAGCAAGGCAAGGGGTACTACAAAGGCCCTCTGCAGTTTTTGATGGTAATATATGGTTTTATAAAATGTTCAATTATAATGTGAAAAATGATCATTTATTTCATTACTTTTCATAATGTGAAAAATTTGATTATTTTGCATTATTTTGTTCTTTTTTTTTTCTAACTAAGTGCACCCCACGCCAACTAGGTTGAACATCCGCCAACATGATTGAACCTACACCAACAATATTGAACCTTCGTCAACAAGAATTGTTCGCCAACACGGTCTATTTGATGAAGGCCGTCAAAGTATCGTTTGTAGCAAGAACATGCAAACTTGCGCGTTAAAGTCAGTGGCAAAGCTGAAAATCACCATTGACAACACCAAGGGACGAAATTTAACTGATTCCCTATTTGAGGAGCTACAATCAAACCTAGCTGATCTTCGGTGTCTAGGCTTGAAAGTGGACTAGTTAGCTCCTACAGTTGAGAAGGCCACAAAACTCCATAAAAGATACAAGTCAGAAACTGAAAAGATATTGAAGCTGAAGAAGAGTATTGTTGATATCGACGATAAAAAGAAACAACTAGAGAAAGAATTGGACTCCCTGTATGCTAGGATTTAATCTTCTGAGCTCGATAATTTTCTTGGGGTTGGGCTATAAATTATAATGATTGATGAAGCTAACTGGATTGAACACAACGCCAACTAGGTTGACTCCACGCCACTACAGATGGTCACAAAAAAGTTTTATTGTGATCACAAAACTTCAACATACTTTTACTACGTTAGTAAAAAAAATTCTGGTATTGAAAACAAGCATACTTCTTTATTCCGAATCCCTCTAGCTCGTTTGTCTAAATATATTTTAAGGTTTATTTTTACCCGTATTAAGGTCTCTGATTTTCTGTTGTAAAAGCCACCTAAGCATTACATGACAAACCTCCTTAATTATGTCTAAGAGAGGCTTGGTATAAAAAGGAGAACAAGACTAGACAAGACCCTCTGCAATTTTTGGAGAGAATAGATTATATTAAATGTTAGGTTAGATAGGAAAAAAAAATATAGATAAACATCGATTTATTGAGTTAGGGTTGAACTTTTATGCCTATGCGTATATAATTATTCTAAAGCATCAGTTTTCCACTTGTATCTCCACTTGTATCTGATGATCCAATTAGATACAATATAATAATTACATAGTTATACATAATTTGTTATTTTATAAATAATTTTACGTAATTTGTTTATGTACAAACATATATATATATATATATATATATATATATATATATATATATATATAGAAAGGATCATATAAGAACCCAATGTTATATAAGAACCCATCTCAACCGTTCATTGATTTTGATCTAACCATCTAAAATACTCCTTTAGTAATGACATTTCTGTAATTCTTTATAACTTTTTCTTCACACTTTAAACAAAAATACCCTAAATCTCTCACCTTAACACTTTCTCTCTCCGCAGCCTTTTCTCTCTTCTCTCTCCTCTATCTCAAAGAAAATTGCTTGGTAAGTTTATGAATTATTAAAAAATTCTAATTTAATTTTATTTTTTGATTGCTTTATAAGAATTAGAACATATAGTTGATATTTAAATAATAAAAACAAAAAATAAAAGTTAATGCTAGTGCTTACCAAGAATCCACATAATGTGGTGCATCCAATTTCAAAAAAGCTCCAGATCCCATTTTCTTAATTGCTTGTTTATGCTTATCAGAAAGACCTACCAACACTTGTTTCATCAATTCCTTAGCAGTAACTCTTTGATAAGCTGATCTCTTATTGTTTTTCCTCTTTGATTATTTTGACATCCTCATCATCCTTTTCTTTTTCAATCTTTCTTTTCTTACTTTTCATATTTTTTTTTCAAAACCACCTGAAAAAAGTAGAATATTAGAAAGAATTTTAACATAATAAAAACATAAACTTTAGAACGTCAGCATATAATTTAGAATACATGTATTTTAAAGCATGAACTTTAGAACATCATTATAAAGATTTGAATTAGCTGATAAATTATTGTTATAAAAAATAAACTTTAGAACATATGTATATAATTAAAACATTAATTTGGAAATGTAAGCATGCTACTTACAAAAAATCATTTACTTATTAATTAAATCATTTACTTTAGAACATAAGCATGAATGTATTAGAACATATGTATATAATTAATAAAGTTACATATTAATTGAATCATTAACTTTAGAACATAAGCATGAATGTAGAATATAAACATGTAATTTATGACATTAACATATACTTTAAAACATCAACAAATAATTTAGAACCTATTTACTATCATCATTCACGCCATCTCTTTTATCATATTTCTCCTCCAACTTTGGTCCATCTCATCATTAATATCATGTTGATCATCATTCTCATCATCATCATCCTTATCTTCTTCTTCCTTTTTTTTCATTTTTCTAGTTGGTTGAATCCTTGATGAAAGCTTGGCACTGTATTTTTGTTTTTGACTTTGCACACGTTTCTCAAATTCAACTTTTTCAATTACTTCCGCTTCATTTTCAACAACTTTCCTTTAAAATCAAATATAAATGATTTAGAACATATATGATAATCTTTAGAACATAATAGAAAACTTTATATCATAATATAAATACTTTAGAACATAATAGAAAATCTTAGAACATAAGGGAAAACTTTAGAACATAAGAGAAAACTTTAGAACATAAGGGGACAACTTTAGAACATAAGGGAAAAATATAATAGAACATAATAGAAAACTTTAGAACATAAGGGAAAATATAATAGAACATAATAGAAAACTTTAAAACATAATAGAAAACTGTAGAACAAAATAGAAAATCTTAGAACATAATAGAAAACTTTAGAACATAATAGAAATACTTTAGAACATAAGGGAAAACTTTAGAACATAAGGGAAAAATAATACATAAACTTTAATTACTTTTTTCTTCCGTAAGTAATTTTTTCATCTGGTATAATAGTAATTTTTTCTTCTGATTTTTCTTCATTTTGGCCTTGCATTTTGCTGCAATTTTAAATAATAAAAAACATTCGTAACATTCCAACATTAGTAATATATTTTAAACATAAGAATAGTTTAGAAAATGCTGAAAATAGTTTAGAACATGCTGAAAATAGTTGTCTTTGTAGGCATTATATATTTTTAACTCTTTACAAGATTCATTCAAGTCCAATGCATTTAAAGGTCTTTATACCTACAATTAATGGTAAGAGCATACAAGCCAACATAATCACCATCTTAGTCTCAAGCTTCTTTGTGTCAAAACAAACAACTTAAGGAGCTATAAGATGGACATGTCATAGAAGAGAATAAACATGGCAGCAAAACGATGCTCAAACTCAAACTCGTTATTATACTAGAAACAAATCTTTAACCAAGATATAAGAAAAAAACAGAATTAACACACACACACACAGAGAGTAACCTTCCTAGCTTGAACACCTTCGGCAAGAAGGGACATAGGGTTATGTCAACAGGTCTATTGAGTTTATGTTAATCTAGTCTAAGTTGTGAATGAATTAAAGTTGATTAATTGGATGTTTGGAAATTTTGGCTTCAACCTTATCGTGCAAGTACTTTTTAAAGTCTAGCAATTAGCTTCTAATAGTATACTTTTTTTTTGACGAATTCTATTAGTATACATTAATCATTGTTAAATCCTAACAGACTAATCAACTTTTACAGCAACTATGACACGTATTGCAATCAGCAGCACAAATATTGGAATTATTTTTTAAAGTCATCTGATCATGGTCAAACAGAAGCATAATTTGTGCATAATAGGAATCCCCCAAATTAAGCATGAAATACTATGACACCCAAGGATAATTTTTTGTTATGTCTGGAACTGTTACTCGTATTCATACTGTAATTTGAACTAGTAACGTGAGCTTAAGATATATTACTAAACCGTGGCGCCTATACATCAATTTAGATCTTCTACTTGTAACACATAGGTAATTAGGAATTACAAAGTAGCAAAATTAAGTAGATCAACATCAACATTTTCTCATCATCTTACAGGGTTTAAGATATTAAACTCAAACGCAATACAAACAAAAAAATTGAAGAAAAATGAAATAAAATTGAAGAACAAAAAAGTGACGAATTATTGTTATACAAAGTGTCGAGAAAGCTGTAGAGGCTCGAATTTAAACATCATAAGCAGAAAATTAACTTAAATCAATTAAATTAACAAATTAACTGAAATTGAGAGCAAAAAATTAAAAATTAAATTGACAATGCAAGTTGAGTTGAGTAGAATAGAGAGAATTAAAGGTGGTAAAAATGGCGGAAAAAGAGGAGAGAGAAGATGGAAACCTACAAAGATCATCGAGGAGTTCTTGAGGAGGAAGGCCGTTCTTCAATGGAGCGCTAGAAGATATGTGAAGCCCTGACATCACTCCGGCGCTCCGAGACTGTCTGTGTGTGTCCTTATGAAAATATGTACTACGTACTTAGAGTAATGAAACTTCCATCTGCAGCCATAGATTCAACTCGTAAATAAGGAAGTCTAAAATCAACAATGAAAATGATTAATCATAAAATTCGAACAAAATCAGGAAAACTCGAACAAAACGTGTATAAATAGTAAAATCGAACATAAATCAAACAATGAAATTCATATCAGAAATCGAATATAAATCAGACGTGAACAAAACGAACAAAATTGAGTATAGAAATCGTGAAAATCGAACAAAATCAACAATAAAAATCGAACAAAATAAACCATAAAAACGCCGAAAATGATTGAAAATCATATCAGAAATTCATGAGAATCTTACGAAATTCATAAAATTAGAACAAAATCGAAGAAAACGACCTGATTTGAGCAATTTAGGTTGTTTTTGCAGAAATTTGGGCTAGATTTTGGGATTTGTGGAGAGAGGAAGTAAAGAGGATTGAAAGTTTGAGGAGAGAGAAAATTTGTACGGTTTGGTAGGGTTTAGAGCAATGCCAATGGTGAGCATTTTATTTGCTCATGGGCAAATTTGATGGGAAAATAAAATGCTCACCATTGTAGAAGGTGAGAAAATTTGATCAAGCCAAAAAAAGCCCATGGGCAAAATGAAATTTGCCCAAAGAGTGAGCATTTTCGTGTAGCTACAGTGAAGGAAGTGGGCCCCACAGCAGGTCAGACGCAATTAAAAAAATTTGGCTGGGCCCTTATCAAAACGACGCGTTTTGATGAAGTGGTCTGAAGGGCCGCTTCCAAAACGCGTCGTTTTGACGCTTAGAAAATAAAAAAAAAAAATTCGCTGGCAGAGGTGCGTCAGAATTGCTGGCGAATCAGAGCGCGCCACGTGTCTTGCGCAGGGGATTGACCAATGAGAAAATACTAGCCGTTTACAACGGTAATATTATTTGTAACTGATTTTCCGAAAAATATATTTGTTAAAAAAAAAAAAAAATTACCAACGGTCATAAAATTAAATTCTCTATAAATAGACATGCATTTTGATATGTTTTGATATAATTTCGTAATCACCTAAAATCCTCCACTTTTTTATTTTCTTAAGCATTTTAAATTTGTAGAAGAATATATTTGTTGCAAAACATCCATATTGAGGTAAATTTTTTTTTTTTAAATATTTAAATTCAGTTATGTAATTAAATTAGTATATATGTGATTTTTTGAAGAAAAAAAAATATTGTAAGCCATGTAATTATATTGCATTATGTAATTAAACAAAGTTGTTGATATTTTCTCCATAAATTACTAAATTTGTAGTTAAAGTGTTGCAAATATTGGTTATTTTTTTTTTTTAAAAATATATACATGTAGTTATGTATTAAAATTAGTATATATGTGATTTTTGGAAAAAAAAAAAATATTGTATGTCATGTTATGTAATTGCTTTATGTAATTGAAGAAAGTTGTTGATAATTTCTCCTTACATTACTAAATTTGTAGTAAATAAAGTGTTGCAATTATTGGTTAATTTTATTTTAAATATATACATGTAGTTATGTATTAAAATTAGTATATGTGTGTTTTTTTTTAAAAAAAATATTGTAGGCCATGTACTGTAATTGCATTATGTAATTGAAGAAAGTTGTTGATGTTTTCTCCATACATTACTAAATTTGTAGTTAATAAAGTCTTGAAATTATTGGTTAATTTGTTTTTTTAATATTAAAATTTAGTTATGACTTTAAATTAGTATATATGTGAATTGGTTAATAAAGTTGTTGATATTTTTTTGGATTTGTTGTCATTTTAATTTGTTTTTTGAGTAAATCTTAGTAAAAATATTTATCTTTTGTTTTGTGATGCAGAATCTTTTAATGGATCCAAACAACCCAAATTTCCGTCAACAATTTTCTGGTTTTAGTGATGATTTCCTAACTAATCCCGAGTTTCAATTGTTCTTGCAAAGAATGGGCAATACGTCTTTGCAACCACCTCCACAGTATCAGACACCTACTCAGTTTCCCCTACGAAACCATGTTAATGAAGAATGTACACCTGAAATTGAACATGATAGCAACACACAATTCGATGACAGCGAAGAAGACAGCGTACCAGAGACGCCGCAATATCCTCCACCAGTTCCCGAACTGAAATCCAACCAGGTTGTTGCACGAGCGACTCGAATTTGGTCAGTTGCGGAAGATGAAACTCTGATTGGGTTGTACTTGGAGATCAGCGAGAATGCTATTAAAGGCACGAGCCAGAAAGCAACTTCCCTTTGGCGCGATGTACACTCAGCATATCAACTTGCTCATGCGGAGAAGCCGCATATACTTCCACCAAGACCTATGAAGAGTCTGACGTCGCACTGGAGAAGGTTGGCAGCAGACACACTTCCACCAAGGACGTTGAAAGAGCTTTCGGTGTGTTGCAAGCTCGATTTGCAATAATACGAAAACCGTCGCTGGCGTACGATGAGGACATACTGCGGGACATAATGAAAGCATGTATCATTATGCACAACATGATTGTTGAAGATGAGCGCCACAACTACACTCGAGCCGAAGTTCTAAGAGCCTTCTACGAAGAAGATCAACAAGAATCAACACCAGCATCAACATCTACAACGCCACCGTTTGAATTCAACGTAGGCTGACCTACCAACTTTGATTTCAACGCATTTCTACAGCGAAAAGCTTCCCTCCGTGACAGAGAAATTCATCTATCTCTGAAACGTGATTTAGTCGAACATATTTGGCAACACTACGGGCCACGTAATTTGGGAGAAATTAGCACGACTTAAATAAAGCCAAGTACTATGGCGTAGCTACTTTTACTTGTTGTGTTTATTTTATTTCCTAAGTTTAATTACGCATGACGTTGCAAATGTAATTGGTTTCTAGTATTGTACCGCTTTTAAAATAAATAAAAACATTTAAGAAATTTTGAGCTTTTTTTAAATTTTTTTTTATATAACGTACTTAATTTTACGACAAATTTTAACGATAAAAAGGACAAAAATAAAAAAAATAAGTTACACAAATTTTAACTAGTTTTTATTTATTTGGAGTAACATTGTTAAAATATAAATGAAATAAATAAATAAAGAAGTGTTGTGTAGGAGAGAGAAAGTAATGGTGGGGTATTGAAAAAGTAAGAGAGAGAGAGTGGTGGGTGGGCAATTTTTTTGCTCACCATTGGGAGAGAATATGTGAAAAAAATTTGCCCATGAGCAAAACTTATTTCTTGAGAGAGAAAGTGGGTAGAGAGAGAGTGGGTGAGCATTTTTTTTGCTCACCATTGAGAGTGGTCTTAGGGGTAGGTTTTTTGTTTTAATCATGACCGCTCATCCTAATCTAATCCTACGGATGAGATTAGTTCTTATATAACTAAGATTCTTATATAACTATGGGTTCTTACCGGATCCCTTCCTATATATATATATATATATATACTAGGTTAGAACCCGTGCGATGCACGGTTTATATAAAATTTATTTTTATAATTTGTACTGTCTAATACATATTTTAATGTAGGAGTCTATTTATTAGTGTGCAACTTAAATTATTTCATTTTTTAAGGATAAATTGTTAGGTTGTATTTGTAATATAGAAGCTTCTATTATTCAAATTTCAAAATATATTAAATATAATAGCTCAAAATAAATAAATAAATAAAAAGATGACATCATCATGCATTTAGGCGGGCAAATTCTTATTATGAGAGTGACATATGGATAGGGATGACACCAACAAAGTTTTGTTTTAGTAATAGTTAATAGATATATACATGAAAATGCATGTAAATATTTTTTATAATGATTGATATCAATAAATTTATTTTATTTATTTCAAAGTAAATTTAAAAGATGTTAGATCTGCCACTGCTTTTATGAAGATGGGGTGTATGTTTTAATTAGATTTCATGATTTATAACTTTTGGCCTTTAATGTACACGTTTTATACTTTATTTTAACGTTATTTTATAGCTATTTTCATATGGTTTTGGAGCTCTATAGAGCTATTTCTCACTAACATTTTCTTCTCTAGTGTGGCTTGATCCTTTATTATTCATTCATATGTGTTAGTTCCTGGTGTGACATTGATCTTAATTTTGACTTGATACTTTTAGTAGTGTGTCATGCTACATTGCACATCTCCCAAGATTGAATCATATTCCTGTTGAATGCTTCAAGATTAACCCCCCTGTCAGTCAAGAGTTTCCCAACAAGCATTAAAAAGACCCTAGAATCTAATTCTGTAGATTCCACCGCACCGAAATCCACAATTTCGCTTTCCTCTTCTTCCAGATTAAGGTTTGAGTATTTTCCAATCAATTCGTCGGCCATTATTGCCGGAGAACAACCACGCCGAACTGGTAGGTTACGCCTTTCTCATGAGGTAGATCGCCCTTTATTTCGAGGGAGTTTTTGGAAAAAAAATACAACGACAATAATAGTAATAATAATAATAATAATAATAATAATAATAATAGTAGTAGTAGTAGTAGTAGTAGTAGTAGTAGCAGCAGCAGCAGCAGCAGCAATAATAATAATAGTAGTAGTAGTAGTAGTAGTAGTAGTAGTAGTAGTAGTAGTAGTAGTATAGTAGTAGTAGTAGTAGTAGTAGTAGTAGTAGTAGTAGTAGTAGTAGTAGTAGTAGTAGTAAGTAGTAGTAGTAGTAGCAGCAGCAGCAGCAGCAGCAGCAGCAGCAGCAGCAGCAGCAATAATAATAATAATAATAATAATAATAATAATAATAATAATAATAATAATAATAATAATAATAATAATAATAATAATAATAATAATAATAATAATAATAATAATAACAACAACAATAACATTTAATAATAATAATTTTACTATGTATATTTGTATATACACATATGTATAATAATAAATAATCAAAGATCACTAATCCGTAGTTAAAAATCACTAATTAATAAGTTCGGTTCAGTTTAGTTCAGTTCATCTCAGTTCAGTTTAGCTCAGTTCAGTTCAGCTGAGTTCAGTCAATGAGAACGTACATGCCCTAATATATGAGAGTCATATTAAAGACTTGGATTGAAGCAAGTTATGTAATTTAAGATGTGTATGTTTTGAGAAAACATATTACATAAGAAAAGCATCTATTTGCAGAATTATGTTTAAAATAGAAATTTCATTCTCTTATTTAATTATGTTTTTGGAAATTAATTAAAATGTCCAAAATAATTATGAATTTATGGGCTCATCAGGTTGATGACCTGGTGAATGAAACCCCAGAGGTGAATAAAATTCATATATTATTTAAGTTCCTAGTTCGAAATCATTAAAGTGGACATAAATGATTTCAATATATGGACTACCATGTAAGATTGATTGGATAGCGCAGTTTCATGGGCTATAGGGGCAGTTTCATATTTAAGCATGAATGATGCACGATCGAACTATTGACCTACTTTGAAGTTCAAGTATAGAGCTTCCGGATATATTAGTGGATTCCTTTGACATGAGTGGAACATTGATTTCATTCAATAGATGTTATACGACTGTGGTACACTCAAACGTCTACCCATAATTGGAGATTATAAAGGGTGTTTCCTGGTTATTTTAAAAGTTGAGTCGGAGCCTTGTTGCCATTAGATTGGATTGAGTCTACCTATTAAATTAGGAAATGTGTCATGGCCGCTTGAAGAGGGAGAATTTAGAAAATACGTGGCCGCATTCAAATGCATTACTCATTAATCATTTGGTTTTGTAATTCTAACTCAGATTTCAAGAAACAATTCGTAGATTAATATGATC